GGCATAGCCACATTAAATAGCAGATACATTAAATAGCAGATACACTGGCAGTCAAGGAAATTAATGCAATTCTGCAAGGACAAACATCTAAACTTATCTTAGATACCCAGCAAGGTTCTCAGTGACTTCTTGGTTTTGTAGCAATACCCCAAGTTGTCATCAGTGACCCAGGTGTCATAGTACTGGGAAATTTGCCTGTGCTCTAAGTTAATGTGACTGGAGCAGGTGAGGTTACATTCTTTTAAAATATTATGCTTTGAATAAAATTACTTATAAGAATACTGGATTATAAACAACATATTATGAGATAGACCATATAGTATGACTCAGTTTTACAAACATATTGACCTTGAGTAATTGTTCCAGCCAACAGCACATGGAATAGTTGCTTTAGCAATCTTCATGCTCTCCCTAGCAATGCAACGCCTGGGAAAGGTTTGAAAGACAGATGTACAGCAGCAGGAGAACCTATTGCCTTTTTAGGATTTCTGATCTCTGAAATGCCACAATTTAAAATTGGAAAGGACCTATGCAAGTTACCTAGTATGTCTCTTTTTATTCCACAGCAGTGTCATTTCTGGGCCACCACCTGTCCCTTAATAAACAGCTAGGTATAAAAGCATTTTATCTCGGAATACGGATCTAATATTTTAATGTTCTTAATAACTTCCATTCCCAAACATTCACTTATCTTTGTCAGATGCCCAGATTCTATCTTTCACCTCCCTGTTTAGATGTATAGCCTAAAGGTTTCATGTGATTATAATAAGTCTGGGAAAGGGAAGGCAATTCCATATAAAGGTCATAGAATAGAGAAGAATATTTGATTCCTACGAGAACACAAAGTACCACAGCATGAGGGTGAAACTCTATTAAGCCCAGAAATGAGGGATAGCTCCTTGAATTTAATTTATGTAAATAAGGACCATAATCTTAAAAGTTTAAGGAACACATGTGGGAAAATGAGATGATAATTAGATCCTGAGGAGCATTTGGAGCACTGGGAAGGAAGCCTGGAGACAACTGAAGTGTGTTTATGGAGAGCCATTAGAGGAAGGCCACAGCTGGAAGTGCGTACAGAGTTTGGTTTTACACATTCTTACAGTTTAGAGAGGGAGAAAACAGTGGTAAGTCAGTGTAACACCAACAAGCCAGCAAATACATGAGCCATCAGAAACACACACACTAGCCATCTACTGATTCCTTTCTTGGGGATTTTCAGGGCATGCTATGGTGGAGTAGCTCCTAGAAAAGTCACTAAAAATGGAAGGTCTTCAGAGAAAAAAATTAAAATACAAAATGCTAAGAATGGATTGTGTGCAATGTTCATCACCAACTGTTTCCCTTTGGTCATGTTTAACAAAGCCCAGCTTTTTCTGTCCCAGGGTTTCACCACTTCTAGAATGGCATCCTGACCTCCTATGAGTAGTGTGTCAATGGCAATCGTCTGAGTCCTGTGCACAACTTACGGAAAAGAGGATTTAAGGAGTAAACAATCAGGTGTAAGAGGTATTAAAATTGGTTTTGGAGTCCCTCCATTCTTCTGGAGAAAGATGCTGTGGAAACCAAGCAACGCTCATCAGCCCCAATCTGCCACAGAAATGACAGTCAATGAAGAAGAGTAACACAATGGAAGACTAATTGTGTGGTCTGGACAGTCAGAGGTTCAAAACAAAGCACAGTCCCTCTGGAAGGGGTGAAATGAAAGAAAGACACTGGGTGCTGTACATGGGCAAGCACTTCCAGTGTCCCCAGGTTCCATCTTATTTAATCATGCCATAGTTATTATTACAGGCCATTTCACCAATGAGAACACAGAGACTCAAAGAGTTTAAGCAGCCAATGACACAATAAGTTTGTGATGGGGACAACTGAAAAGCCAGCCATTATGATCAGGCACAATGGCTTGATCACAGGTACTTATTCAAGAAATTCCTATCACTCCCTCACTAAGCCAGGATCAGTCTAGAAAATGAGCCAAAGGGCTTTTGTAGACTAATTGCAAGGGTTGAAACTCTACCAAAAGTATGGTTTGACTTCAGTTAGCTACTAACTAAATGGAAGCAATACTTAATTGTATCTCCATCAAACTAAAAACTACAAGGAGAATAAGAAGCTCTACTGTGAATACACTGGCCTTTGAAGAGTAGGAGGGATTTCAAGCAAACCTTTAGTTGATAGGAACAAGGAAGTCTCGGAGAAACCCCATGACTTTCTAGATGGGTACACAGCACTACATGGACTTAGTGGCAACTCAAAATTTTCCATTCACTCACAGCTAATAACACATATAATTTTTTTACACATTATGTGCTATGTGTCAGATTATCTCGATTTTTGACTCATCCCTAGTGGGAGTATTAAGAAACACACACACACACACACACACACACACACACACACACACACACACACACACACTGTCTTTAGGTACAACAAAGCAAATATCCTTCAATGACATAAAAGATAAATGCCTCCAAACAAAAACTGTCTTGAAGAATGAAAATTGGATTGTTAACTTCTTCTCTTAAACTAGTTGAATATTCAGGATACTCACTGTATTGAAAGAAGACAACAGATTGGGTTTTCATTCAGGAAATGAGTGCTTTGACTTTTACAGAAAAAAGAATAGAACTGGGAATCAGCTAGATGAAGTCCCAGGACATGGGGGCTAGCATGTTTGTTTACTAGGATATGGAGCCAGCAGGGTGGGGACCCAGGACATGGGGACTAGCATGTTTGTTTACCAGGCCATGGAGCCAGCAGGATGGGGCCTCAGGACATGGGGACTAGCAGGATGGTGTACAGGGCACAGGGGCCAGCAGGATGGTGTCCAGGACATGGTGCATGAGGTAGTTTTCCACATTCATTTTTGGAACTGGCCAAATATGAACATATCCAGGGTCATTCTGGCACTTTCAGTTATTGCTTTCAAAAGTCAAATTCAATTACTCAGTTAATAGTATGTATTTGTAAAATTGGTCTTTAATGATGGGAGCAAGTATCTCAAAATTATTGGCTTTTCAATTCAATATCAAACAATCAATGAGAGAGGAGACATTTATCAAAACAACAATTTCTTGCTCTTTGATTCTAGATAAAATTATAGACACAAAAATCTCATGATTAAACAAAGTGTTTATAAGTGATTATGTGAAATATATGGGCAAAAGGAAGGCTCCTGTCTTGACCAAAGTCACTTAATTATAGATCATGTTTTATATATGAATAGCTACTGATCATTTTGCCTGCATGTATGTATATGTAATACCTGCATGTCTGGTGTCTGCAGTGTCAAGAGGGCACCAGAGCCCTTGGTACTGGAGTTACAGACAGTTGTAAGCTGCCTGGTGGGTGCTGGGAGCCAAATCTGGACCCTCTGAAAGAACAACCAGTACCCTTGACCTCTGAGACATTTCTACAGCCCTGAACATGAAATGGTGAATCTTTATTCATGTGATTTGATTTTTAAATGTCTCCTCATCATTGTTTATATATTTTTAAAATTAATTTGTTACATTGTGTGTGTGTGTGTGTGTGTGTGTGTGTGTGTGTGTGTGTGAGTGGACACGCAAGAACCAGGAAACTCAGATGATAACTTGTGGTTTTCTCCTTGTACTATGTGGATCCCAGAGAGGAAATTCAGGTTTGGTAGCAAGCAGCCTTACTTGCTGAGGGATCCCACTGACCCCAATGAAAGTTTGTTTTTATTTTTTTTAATATCTTGATTATTAGAATCTCATGAGACAAATTTATAAGTGAAGAAAAATAAATTGTAAGCAGCTTTTCATAACATAGGTTTATAGCATAATCTAAGCATGATTTCTTACTGCACAATACTAAAAATAGCAACATGGAAAGGCATGGGCAACTATATTGCATTTTTACTATCCCCAAGACATTACTCAGAGAATGTTTTGTTTGTTATTCCAAAACGTGAAATGAAGAATAATCATTAGAGAATTTAGATTTGAGTTTTTCTGTTTTTGTGAAACAAAGTCAAATCTCTGTTTTCCTTTCCTTTTCCTTCTTCCCTGCATGCATACGTCATGCATACTCACACATGTACCCATAGCCATGGACATACACGTGCATATATACACAGGAGCATACTCTGTACTTATACACACATATGTTGAGTGCATACTATTGTACATAGTACTCATGCATGTACATGCACACACATAAACACACATTCATATCCGTATGTCAGATAACAGGTGACTCCCTTCTCTCCCAACTGTATTTTATGACAGATCCATTTTCAAAAATTAAAACATCAGGACATTTTCAGGAAATTAATATTACAATGGCAGAGTTAGAACTTGTTTTTAAATGCTTAAATTAAATATTTTAATTTTATCTAACAATTCAGGATAATGCTGTGTGAAATAAATCACAAATCTAATTTACCCATCATCCTTGTAACTTACTTTTTACTTTTAATATTTTAAAAACTGTGTTCTTGGGATTTTATTTTTTATGTGTAACTTCAATGGACTCTTCCACTGTCTGACACATTGCTTTGATTTAAAGATAATGAAAACCAAAAATAGGGGGAAAGCATGAGACAAGCATTGCTGAGAAACTAAATGTTCCAATTATCTGCTCTCATGTCTCTTTCAGATGAGTTGATGAATGAGAACCCAGTTAGCAACGTCACACTAACCAATTCCTAAGCAATCTCTTTGGACAAGCATGCCTCAGACACAAGACGGGAATCCAATCTCAGCATCCCAATTTCACATATGGAATGTTGGACGTGTCTGTCCTTCTTTAGAATCATTAGACAAGAAAGAATATATTTTGACAACTAGAACACCATTTTTTTTTTGAAAAATTAGAATGCACTCTTGAGGATTTTTTTGTTTTGCTTTGTTTCCCCAAAGAATGAAGCAGAGCAAGATGTGTGTAATTCAGGTTGCTATGCTGTAAAGTGTAGCTGAAGACCATGATTCTCATGCAATTACAAGATTAAAGTGAGATAAATTGGCACTCACAGTTGTGGCAGGTGGCCCCGCTGTATCCTGTCTCATCACAAGTGCATTTGAAGCTGTCCCATGTTTGCGAGCACTTCCCCCCATGCTCACAGTGATTGGGCACACATCTGTCAGGAAAAGAGACACAGAAATAAACCAACAAGCAAATGAGATTTATGGGTGGCCAAATTCCAAGCTGTTTGGGCAATATATCATTTCAATGCCAGGTTGCCTTGCTGAGGCAATTAATCCTTGTTAGTTTAAGCAAATTAATATGATTCATGATGGAAGGTGCCAGGCACACAAAAGATGATGTATCACGGGCCTGGTGTTTCCCCTTTTTGAATAAACCATAGACATTATCGAACAATTGAGGGGTTCATTTGCATGTCACAGATTCATTTTAATTTATTCTACGAAGGACAAAGATGCCACCTAAGAGTCCGCTTGGTGAGAAATGGAAGATGACCCATCTGACTTTTTGTCCTATTTTTTTTTAACAAAAATATAGCAGTATAAAGAGGACCTACCAATGGGTTTGCCACAACTTGGGGTTCTGAAACAATGGCAAAAAAACAACAGGGGAATATAGAAGCCTCAAAAATCTCCTATACCAGTCTGGATAGTTAAAGATGACTACCTAAAATGCTTGCAAGCATAAGTTAGAAGGAAAAAGCACACCTGTATACAAAGTTTTACAAGGTGGATAATTATAACTCATTAATTTTTCTGAACCTTGATTTTCACCTTTGGAAAACTGGGCAATTATACCTATCTTGTGAATACTTTAGAAATATACAATTATTAATTTAAATTTTATTTTTATCTTTGATACTATATATGTGTTTATGTGAAATGCCACTGCCCACAGAGTCCAAAAAAGAGTATAGGATCCCCTGGAGCTGCAGTTAAATATGTTTGTGAACTGCCTGGGAACCAAACTTGGCTATTCTGCAAGGGCAGCAAGCACTCTTAACCATCAAGTCATTTCTCCAGCTCCTCAAATTTTACTTTAATGCTGATACACAGAACTGGGAACATTGCTCTTATTAGTGGCCTACTGTGCTGTTTCAATGTGTTATTCTGTTTGTGTTATGATTAAGGCTAAATATATCTACCTCCTAAATGTTTATCACTAATGATGAAAAGTATTCAAAAGTAGTTTCTTTACTTCTGAAGTATATAGAGCATGACTGTTTTGTCTAGTCGCCACACACAAGGATGTCTTCCTCCTATCTAACTCTAGCCTGACCGGCTGTGGTCACCATAATTTAACCTTTGAAGTAGTCACCGTTTTCAATGAGATTGTGTGGCACCTATATTTCTGTGTCTCTATTTAAATCCATCTCATCACCCTGTGATATAATGTCTTCCTTTTATATCTAAATAGATTTCCCTTGTATACATAATTGTACCATGTTAAGTTTAGAGACAATGTCCATGAAGTTGATAATTTTTAAGTAGGAACTAGAAGTCCAACAGGTGGGAACTATACCCATCTGGATCATCACTTGCCAGAAATAATTTCTTACCTTGACTTTCCCCTAAAATTAGGGTTGGATTGTGGTTTTAGACACCCCTGCATCAATTATACACTTTCCTGTCTGCTCATATTAGCTCTTTTCCCTTCTCATCTATTCTACTCTCCAAATTCTCTACATCTTTCTTCTTTATAGTGAACATTAAGATGCTCAGTCTAAAAGGGAGAATATTAATATGAATTGGCAATCAAGTAAGATTTTGATAGTTTAATCAGAAACACCTCAAAATATAAATCCCCTCCCTGTTTAAAACAGCAGATTCTACAGTGATGTTTCTGGGTATTGGATTGATAGAGAGCCATCCTGTGGGGAAACTTTTGCTCATAATATCCCAGTAGTTACTAGCTATAAGAACTGACCTATTTAGTCTCAGCGCCCAAACTTCCCAATCTTTGCTCTTGATTTCCCATCAGCCACTCCTAAAAGCAGTTATAGTAGAGCACACAGCTCGGTATGCCATGGCGAATGTGCTTACTGAAGTAAATGCATTGTAAGTGAAAACTATAATGAGGGCAAGAATGGAAAACAACACAGAATGGGCAAGAGAAGTAGTATAGAACCTCGTAGGAAGCATTCAGTGAGCTCGGCAGGTACAGTTTAGAGCTTTAAGTTGAGCATCTGGATCATGAAAGGAAAAAATAAGAACGATCATTATTGGGTTGAAATAGAAGATAAGCAAAGGCACAACCTTGATTGGCTAGGAAATTCACATTACTCTCAAAAGCCACTTTCTCGACTGTGATTTGGTTTTGGTTTTATGTAGGCCACAGAGATTAGCCTTCTCCAATGATCTCTGAATCTAATTGGAAGTTGAGGGTAGAGCAAGAGTCATGCAAAATATCAGGAGTCCTTGGATGAGCCGTGGAACAGATAGAAAGTGCTGTAGAAATTTGGAACCTGGGTTAGTCAAACATCGAGGCTAATTAGAGGATGTAACTAAGTTGGGGATATTATATCTGTATCTTAAAAAACAGGATGAAATATGATGATTAAAGTATTATAAAATGGTCGTGGCAGAATAGGACAGAAAAGTGTTGAAAATGAAGTGTAACATCAAGTGGCGGGTGGTCCTTGTTTGTCTGTCATGGCCATTTGCATGACCACTACATCCTACAAAATTCCAGCATGGCCCTCTCCCCCCACCCCCTCCCTGCCTTGGCTGCTTACAATCAACAGTCCTCATTTTCCACATCATGAAAGAAAGTGAATGAATTCAGACTCCTGACATCATAAGAAAACATAAATGATACTTAACCTTGAAATTCAGCAAAGAGATATCCTTTTGGTGTTACATATAACTTTCCAAATTCTCATGGGTTAATATTAGCTCAGTCTGGTAGTTAAAGTCATTTACATCAGCTCATCATACCAATGAATTCAGGAAAAGACAGTGCAGAAGTGGGCAAGGGAAATCAAGTTGGAAACTATGTATGATTTCAATAATGCTCCTTAGAGAACGATAAAAAACGTTAAGTGTGAATTTAATCCCCATGAGAAATAGAGAACCATCACCGAGAGCGAAAAACTGTCTGCTCCTACCAGTCTGCAGCGCAGATTCCTTATTAAATAATAGTTTTCACTAAATAGATTTTCATATCTTAATTTAAATATTTGCCTTTTGCCATTTAAAAATTTAAAACTAGCATTCTCCAAGTGTAGATTCTAGTTCTTAATGGTAGAACATCACATATATTTCCAGAACAGGTGGATTCATATGTAATCTCATACCTAATATCTTATCAGTGTATTTCAAACTGTTAGGACCAGCGACCAATAGAAATAAAAAAAATACTAACCTAATACTCTAATTAGCATTTCTTTTCTTGATTTCCCATAGAACATCCCATAGAACATGTATCCAATGCACTGTTAACACGTTCAAAAGTAATTTTTTTGCTGTATCCATCTCTTCTACCTTCATGCTCCCTCAGGGAAGCGTGTTTACTTGGAGTTCTTTGCATAATGGGGCACCTGGCCCATACTCAGCATGACTGGGGATGGACACAGAAGCATGAAATGCCACAAGATTGTACCACCACAGACATAAAAATCACTTCAGAGGCAATTGTCTCTTTGATTTGGAGGAAAACAGATTAATTTTACCTAGGATTTTAGTCTTAACACAGATTTGCTCTAATAAATCATTTTTTCTAGTGGGCCACAGGAAATGTATAATTTTCTTCCTAGTATGTGCTAGCTTGAAAGTTTGATTCACATCAAAAATAAATCAAAACGATTTGACTGCTTCAACTTGAGAAGGCTTTGGCCCAGGACTGGGAACATGCAGGACAGAAGTTGACAGATGTCGATTTTGCTCTGATCAGAAAGCTCTTGAAGAAGTCGTGTGGGCAATTACCCATTCCAGACAGCCTGCTGTCCAAGACTCTTTCAACTGGATTTATCCTTCTAGTTAAAATCTTGCAAGGTGCTTGAGAATACGAATGCATTCTTTAAGCTAGACTTCTTATCTCTTCTCTGTGAGCTGCATGCATGTGCATGATGTATTTCGGAAACTGTTCACCACCTCTGACTGTTCCTTAGTTCTTCCCACAACTTCTGCTCAACTTCATTTCCTCTATCTTCTTAATGATCCAGTGAGCCCAGTAAGAGCTCACCATCTATCCATGCGGGTGGAGACATTCTTTAGAGCAGAGTCAAGAATCAAGGATAACAGCCTGAAAGGAAACTGACTTTCTTTCCATCATCAGCCAACAGCTGTTGACAGCGCCTCTGGAGGACCAGCTGGCCCTTTCCCTTCTATGCTGGGATGTGAACTGCTTCACCTTGTAAATGTGCTAGACGGGTGACCTCAGCTGCTTCGGGTTCCTGAGTGCAGGGTTCTTTTTTTTTTTTTTAATTTAAATGAGAAACAAGAATATCAATCCCAGTTCCCTCTCCTGCCCCTGCTCGCCACAGGCCCCCTATCCCATCCCCTTTCTGCTCCCCAGGGAGGGTGAGGCCTTTTATGGGGGTTCTTTGAAGTCTGTCATATCATTTGGAGCAGGGCCTCGACCCTCCCCCATGTGTCTAGGCTGAGAGAGTTTCCCTCTATGTGGAGTGGGCTCACAAAGTCCATTAGTGTACTAGAGATAAATGATGACCAACTACTAGAGGCCCCACAGATTAACCAGACCTCCAAACTGACATCCTCTTTCAGGGGTTCTGTATCAGTCCTATGCTGGTTTCCCAGGTATCAGTCTGGGGTCCCCCTTGTTCAGGTCAGCTGTTTCTGTGGGTTTCTTCAGCCTGGTCTTGACCCCTTTTTTCATCACTCCTCCCTCTCTGCAACTGGATTACAGGAGTTCAGTCCAGTGTTTAGCTGTGGATGTCTGCTTTTGCTTCCATCAGCTACTAGATGAAGGCTCTAGGATGGCATATAAGGTAGTCATCAATCTCATTATCTGAGAAAGACATTTAAAGTAGCCTCTCCACTATTGCTTAAATTATTAGTTGGGGTCAACCCTGTAGATGACTGGACACTTCCCTGGGGCCAGATTTCTCTTTAAACCTACAATGGCTCCCTCTATTATGGTATCTCTTTTCTTGCTCTCCTCTATTCTTCCCATGACTCGAACTTCCTGCTCTAT